CCACGTGGAAGGCATGGCTCAGTTGCCCCAATCACTTCCACCGAGGGTTAGCTAGCGGTGATTTAAGTTAGTTGAAGTTTGGCTGTTTAAAGAAAACCAAACAATTGAATAGTTTCTCCTGGCCCATAGACTACTTTTCCATTGTAAAATACTGAACTTCCTCTTTAATTGGCTCCATTCACAATTTCAGAAGTCTAGCCTAATTACCAATATAAAACCTTTCCCCCAATCTTCTTGTTTACTTTAAAGACTTGGAAATAATTCATATTCAGTACCATTAAGCAAAATACAGTACTATAGTTACTGTATTACAGAACAATGGAAAGTAGTAGTAGCAATGAAATCTGCCCACCTTTCAAATGAGACACACCACAGCAGTCTTCCTCTATGTTGTGATGTTTTTGTTTCTTATATGCCTGGTATTTGAGAGACTTGGAGGATATATCACCATTTCACCACTCAAGCTGAACCCTGGCAAGACGGAGCTGCTCTTCCTCCCGGGGAAGGACTGCCCGTTCCATGATCTCGCCATCACGGTTGACAACTCCGCTGTGTCCTCCTCCCAGAGTGCGAAGAGCCTAGGCGTGACCCTGGACAACACCCTGTCGTTCTCCGCCAACATCAAGGCGGTGACCCGCTCCTGCAGGTTCATGCTCTACAACATTCGGAGAGTACGACCCTGCCTTACACAGGAAGCGGCACAGGTCCTAATCCAGGCACTTGTCATCTCCCGTCTGGACTACTGCAACTCGCTGTTGGCTGGCCTCCCTGCCTGTGCCATTAAACCCCTACAACTCATCCAGAATGCCGCAGCCCGTCTGGTGTTCAACCTTCCCAAGTTCTCTCACGTCACCCCCCCAGGGACGGCTTGTTCAATAGGGCGATATGGGCGACGCACTGCCAAACGGGAAAAGGAAGGGATTTTTTTTCTAATCAATTATATCACGGCAACAGCAGTTATCAGTGTTCACGTCTGATCTGCCAGCCACTAAATGTCAAATCAGGCTAAAGTCGTGCTTCAAATGGCCCCGCCCGTTTTTGGGGCGATTTCAGTCAAGTTGAAAATCGCCCAGAAGTCTCTCATAGCCTGTCATGTAAAATCTATTTTTTTCACATTTCAAAGCTTTCAATACATTCTCTATGGGTGTCTGTGGGCTTGCACTTACGCGCTTTCGTCATACGTGACGTAACGTTGAACGTAACTAAGACAATGGCGGCTAGAAGCGTCTCTGTTGCGACCTGCAGTGCGGCGTTATTTTATGTTTTTAATTTGTAGACTTAGTTTACAAACATTCTGCCAACCATGGATTTCCAGTGGTTGGTTTTGGACTGATCTTGTTGATCGTGTACATACCCGCTACGAACGGACTAAATAATGAAAACGCTGCTGGCAGCTGAATCCCAATACAGCTGGGAGACTTGGCTGGATGAGTCCCGGACAGAGAAGTGGAGCCGGCCACCTTCACCCTGGTCAGAGCGGACCGCGATCCTGGTAAGAGAGCGACTCTGTACCCCGACATTGAACTGCTTTCTGTGTCATTGCGACCTTACTATCAATTCAATTCAATTTAAGGGCTTTATTGGCATGGGAAACGTGTGTTAACATTGCCAAAGCAAGGGAAGTAGATAGTAAACAAAAGTGAAATAAACAATAAATATTAACAGTAAACATTACACTCAGAAGTTTCAAAAGAATAAAGACATTTCAAATGTCATATTATGTATATATACAGTGTTGTTACAATGTGCAAATAGTTAAAGTACAAATGGGAAAATAAATAAACATAAATATGGGTTGTATTTACAATGGTGTTTGTTCTTCACTGGTTGCCCTTTTCTTGTGGCAACAGGTCACAAATCTTGCAGCTGTGATGGCACACTGTGGTTTTTCACCCAGTAGATAAGGGAGTTTATCAAAATTGGGTTTGTTTTCGAATTCTTTGTGTATCGCTGTAATCTGAGGGAAATATGTGTCTCTAATATGGTCATACATTTGGCAGGAGGTTAGGAAGTGCAGCTCAGTTTCCACCTCATTTTGTGGGCAGTGTGCACATAGCCTGTCTTCTCTTGAGAGCCAGGTCTGCCTACGGCGGCCTTTCTCAATAGCAAGGCTATGGTCACTGAGTCTGTACATAGTCAAAGCTTTCATTAAGTTTGGGTCAGTCACAGTGGTCAGGTATTCTGCCACTGTGTACTCTCTGTTTAGGGCCAAATAGCATTCTAGTTTGCTCTGTTTTTTTGTTTGTTCTTTCCAATGTGTCAAGTAATTCTCTTTTTGTTTTCTCATGATTTGGTTGGGTCTAATTGTGTTGTTGTTGTTGTTGTTGTTGTTGTCCTGGGGCTGTGTGGGGTCTGTTTGTGTTTGTGAACAGAGGCCCAGGACAAGCTTACTTAGGGGACTCTTCTCCAAGTTCATCTCTCTGTAGGTGATGGCTTTGTTATGGAAGGTTTGGGAATCGCTTCCTTTTAAGTGGTTACTATCTGCCCCGTGAGTTCCCCCAATTGTTTGTTACCGTTGTGTACTGTTGATAATCACAAGTTTACTGGAGAACTGAGACCAAGTAGAGACTTTGGACAGGGTGGATATGGTATAATAAAGGCAGTTTATTCAGAGGTAAAGATATCTGGAATCGCGTGCACGGACTCGTGCACGTGTGTAGGTCACCTAAATCATCAGAAAAATTGCCCCTCCTGAGAATTTTTTCAGGAGCCGCCACTGCACCCCCCTCCTCCGCACACTCCACTGGCTTCCAGTTGAAGCTCGCATCCGCTACAAGACCATGGTGCTTGCCTATGGAGCAGTGAGGGGAACGGCACCTCTGTACCTTCAGGCTCTGATCAGTCCCTACACCCAAACGAGGGCATTGCGTTCATCCACCTCTGGCCTGCTGGCTCCCCTTCCTCTGCGGAAGCATAGCTCCCGCTCAGCCCAGTCAAAACTGTTCGCTGCTCTGGCACCCCAATGGTGGAACAAGCTCCCTCACGACGCCAGGACAGCGGAGTCACTCACCACCTTCCGGAGACATTTGAAACCCCACCTCTTTAAGGAATACCTGGGATAGGATAAAGTATTCCTTCTAACCCCCCCCCCCCCCCCCCCCCCCCCGCCCCAAATTGTAAAGTGGTTATCCCACTGGCTATAGGGTGAACGCACCAATTTGTGAGTCGCTCTGGCTAAGAGCGTCTGCTAAATGACGTTAATGTGCCCTTGAGCAAGGCACTTAACCCTAATTGCTCCTGTAAGTCGCTCTGGATAAGAGCGTCTGCTAAATGACTAAAATGTAAATGTAAATGTAATTTCCATATCATTTTTTTAGGAGGGTGCCAGGACCATATGCAAGCCTGTGTTCCGGTCAAAAGGCTGAACATGGGAAGATAAGACCCATATTACAATATGTCAGTTATAGACTGGATGGTAGCCAATGCTGCTCCCTGTTCCCCGTAACATCCACTGAACCGTCCTTTCTTATTTTGGGTCTGCTTGCGTGCATTTGTGTGAGGCTGCAAGCTTTGCTGTTTTGTCTGCGTTTTTATGTTTTGATTAGGCCATCAGTGATGAATAGTTCAACCTATCCTGTTGTCAGCTCTACCATTCTACAGCTGCAGGTGAGTCAGTGGTGCTTCACGGTCACAAGTCACCAGTTTCTCTCTGAATATCCATTTGTTGTTTTCTGACAGTGTAGCTGATGGCACAGACTGACTGGTTTCCCAGGGGCTTCCTTCCACTCTCATCCATCTTTCTACATGATTCAGATAGAGACTTATCAGTAAAGCTGCCCTTTGTTCAGGCCCGACCTATGACTCAGCTCCCATACGCACCACCACAGTGACAATGGGGAGGAGAGGCAGAGACCATGGCAGCAAAACAAAGTCAAAAGCAATTCCATACCTCAAAAGTAGAGTCCTATAATTAGGATACATAGTGTTACCACACAATTTACTAGTTTCTTTATTGCAAGCATGAATAAATATGGTGTATTACTCTACTGTACATAATAGCCAGGATCGTTTCTAACTGTTTGACTTCATCTCTTTTGACTGAGTGACACATTTTTATAACTCAGTCCAATAATCATATCTGCCAGAATGAGTCCAGAGAAAATATTTATCTTGTACTAAACTGCCCATCATCCTATCAGTTTCTCTTCCTGAAATAACAATTACACATTTAGCCAAGACAAAGGTTAGCATGATAATATATTATTTATTCAATGTTGGAAACAGTAACACATTCAAAAAGCAATACCTTATAATATTTGACTATGGAAAGTAACATGAATTGCGTCACCGCCCCCATTTACCATTAGGGGAAGACAAAGTCAATGTGTTGAGAAGAGGACGGTTCCTCTGAATGTGGAAACTTTATGGACCAAGGCCTTTGCCAGCAGATCTTTGGTTAAGACAACAACACTCTCCATCTTAGAGAAGTGCTAGTAAACCCTAGTCATCTCAGATGTTCAATTCCTGTAGTAGCATCTGATGCAGTATATCCAATACAGAACTGATCAAGTAATTTCCGTCATTTGAGGTCATTATGCATTAAATACAACACCAATGAAATGTCACTTATGCCCACCGTGATGTAGACCCCGAAATCATTGCACCTTTATAAATACCTGTAGACATCAGGTATGACAACTTCAGCAATACAATGTGTGATGAGTGCATTAGTTATGTTACAACATTTCAAGAATTGGTGATGGTAATGGAGGAGTTGTGTTGATGTCTGTGAGCGTGTTGAGTCTTAAGGCATTGGAGGGTTAGGGCGACGCAGCAGGACTCAGGACTCAGTAGAGGCTCTCTCCCTTAGGCTGTCATACACAGTACTTCCAGAAACAATCTGTGGACACAGAGAAAAAACGCTGTTCAGTCTCTCTTGCTCTATTAGAGGGAGGAATATATAATTTTGTTTTAAAACTAAGTCCACTACAGTAAATAAAATGTGTTACGACTAGAAGATTATTGCGATAATAATAAGCAATAAATAACTTGCACTCACCCCTTTTCCTTGGAATGGACTTGTCCTCTGCTAATATGTTGGATGACAGCTCCAGACCCTCCTTCAAAGCCTCTAGCTGCAATGAGAGAACACTGGTCACAGACGGCCAAAGGAACACTGTGCTGGTCTCTGTGGAAGGTGCCTTTTGCTGGTGAATCATACAAAGATGACATCCAAAGGGAATTTCTCCAGAGAATGTACAAAGTACCTCAGTCAAAGGTAGCTGTGTTTATCTGTTCGTCTCATGAACCCATAAAAAGTATCTTATCTGCTAAGGATATGACTGCACATTAATGCACATCTATTTATTTTACTGTATTTTGTAACAAAAACCCTTTAATGCCCTACCTCCACCAACTCTGCTAGTTTGTTGTCCAAGTGTAAACCTGCAGAGAAGCAAATCAGATAACATCACAACAAACCTGAGAAACACTTGGTCAACCCATGCGTATTATTATACAGGATCATCTACATGAGTATGTGTAGTGATATGTATGTGCTGCTATACTGTAAATGCCTTACCTAAAGCGTAATTTCTTTCAACAGGTTCTAAGCTTTTGTGTAGTAACAATGCTAGAATCTTGTTCTGGCCATCTGTGCCTTCCCTTGGGTGATAAACATGGTTTCCTGGATATGTGGGAAATGACAATGCATATGTGATTACTATAAATAAATCTAGAATGACACAATATTCACTTAAAACTGATCCACATTCACAGTGTAGTATTCACAGTATTGTTAGAAGAACAATTGAATTGGCAAGCAAAAACATGTTTTCCACATAATACCAGTAACACATTCATCCTCTTTACATATGATTCGGAACTATTGAGTCATGTTCTGCATGATAATGTATTCTCTGAGCTTGTCAATAATTAAATTATTAATATATGAAAGATGAATGGCTTGTCAAATGTAACAACTATTGAAACTACCTGTTGCACATCTTGTGTGCAATTTGCCCCAATTATTCACCAGGAGAGCTTTCTCATGCCTAAATTTTAACAACAAACAGTGCATGCAAGCCAGTGATGGAAAGGAGCCCGTGGTTGCATCCTCAGATTGTCTACATCGTCAGGTAGTCTATGCCTCAGAAAACCCAGCTAGTACACGCAACAAGCTACCACATTCACCAAGCCAGCAGACTCACCAGGGTTGAAGATGCTTCTCCCCTCCACACTGACTACCCCTTGTAGGAGCAGAAAGGCTACCAGTCCCAGCCAGTAGTTCACAGAGACAGCCCTGTCCATGACAACGAAGCAACTGTCCCAAAGAAGTGTTCAAGTATCAGCTGGTTCTCAACCTGCCCAAAGGATCTACTGCCTTTGGTCCATCCCAACCATACTTTTATCCTCTCTGACGTGGAAGGAGGAGACGGGGGCTCAGCCCCCGGTGCACTCAATCAATAGGTAGTCACCGTGAATTTCGTCTATGGACCACTGTCCTTTGCAAGAGGGATGTTGTAGTGTCTGACCAGCCTGGTCTCATAGACTAGATGTAAGATAGTAAATGTAAATCGGGGACACTCAAATTAGTATGATATGTTATGTTTGGTATGGTTACATAAGACAGATTGTTACTAAAGGCAAAAACAAAAGTATGATGGTTGGTCGGGGTGGATGGGTGGGCATATAACGTGACTGTCTAGCAACCCAAAGGTTGTGAGTTCAAATCTCATTACAGACAACTTCAGCATTTTAGCAACTTTTCAACTACTTTCTACTTTTTAGCTACTTTGCAACTACTTAGCATATTAGTTAACCCTTCCCCTAACCCTAACCTAAATCCATTTAGCTAACCCTTCCCCTAACCATAGGGCGGCGCAAAATTGGCCCAGCGTCGTCCGGGTTTGGCCATCATTGTAAATAAGAATTTGTTCTTAACTGACTTGCCTAGTTAAATGAAGGTTAAATAAAAATAACAAATAAATAAACCTTAACCCTTTTAGCTAACCTTAACACTAACCTTAACCCCTAGCCTAGCTAACATTAGCCAGCTAGCTAGAGTTCATAACATATCATATGTTTTGCAAATTCGTAACATAGTGTACATTTAGCAAATTCCTAACATATTGTACGTTTTGCTAACTCGTAACCTATAATATGAATTGTAATTCGTAACATATCATACGAAATGGGTGATGGACATCCACAAATTAATACATACCATACGAAACCTAACATATCATACTAAATGGAGTGTCTCGGCTGTACGTACAGAATAATACAAAAATACTCAGAGAAATATGACGATCTGGATCTGGGGCCAGAGGCCCTTCATCAACGTGACAGATACAAAGCCAGCAGAGTGAGGAAGTTGTCAATCACCTATTATTTACGGGAGTGGACAGTCAGATGTTCCTGGCACTTTCAGTCCTTTACTTTTATATGAATGAGCTCCTTAAGAATGTAGAGGGAGAATCTTGGACAGGGGTAAGAGTATGAGAAGGGAATTGATTCTGTCCCTATAAAGTGCACCATGCCCGGAGATGAGCTCTTCAGTCTTGGCTCCAGGTCTGAGCATCAGCACCAATGTGGAGCTGATTGAACATCCATCACGAGGTCAAACCACGCGACCCTGGCCTGTCTGTTGCATCCGGAATTCACGACTCAATGCCTGTGTCAGTGTAATGGCTGCTGTATTTATGTACGGTAGTTTTAGTTAAATTAAGTGTCTGGCACTCATTGTGTTTGGCTTGTTTCCCTCATAAAGCTTATTGGCTGCTATTTCATTGACGCCTTGTGTCTTCCGCTGAGGAAGTTATTGATGGCTAGTCGTGTCTTTCATCCAGAAATCCATCACATATCCATCTCCTTATGATACGGATTTTGGAACTTGAGGACGTAGAGAACTTGGTTGAGTGAGCCACAGTGAATGATATTGCATCTTGTGAAGGAGTTCAGTCATTTTGTTGAAAATATAATCAATATCTTGATGGATCTCCAGGCATGACTCACATTGCAGAGGACAACATTCTTAGACACTGTGTGTTCTTCTGTACGATGCTCTTCTGGAATCATTCAAATCAAATTGTATTTGTCACATGCGCCGAATAAAACAGATGTAGACCTTACCGTGAAATGCTTGGACCATGATAGTTTGTTGGTGATGTGGACACCAAGGAACTTGAAGCTCTCGACCTTCTTCACTACAGCCCTGTCGATGAGAATGGGGGCGTGATCGGCTCTCCTTTTCCTGTAGTCCACGATCATCTCCTTTGTCTTGATCACGTTGAGGGAGAGATTGTTGTCCTGGCACCACACTGCCAGGTCTCTGACCTTCTCCCTATAGGCTGTCTCATCGTTGTCGGTGATCAGGCCTACCACTGTTGTGTCGTCGGCAAACTTCATGGCTACAGACGTGAGTGCTATGGGTCGGTAGTCATTAGGCAGGTGACCTTGGTGTTCTTGGGCACAGGGACTATGGTGGTCTGCTTGAAACATTCAACAGATTACGTTCTATAATGTTGTCAAAGCAGACGTTACTGGTTTGACAGATTGGCCTGACAAATTGTTCTTATATGAGAGTCATATCTGATATACTTGGAGTGTTATCTCTATAGTGAATGTCTATTTAGATTTATACAACGGGTGGGTCTAATCCTGGATACTGATTGGTTAAAACCGCATTCCAGCCGGTGTCTATTTAGAATGACATGGCTTATCTTTTCATTTTGTTGGGATGATAAGTCATTTGACAATCCATTTGATGACCTTGTTTAGAGAACAGAGAGATCAAGACTACCAAGCAGTGTTTCCAATCTGTCAGTCTGGTTCATACCATGAACTCCAGGAGCTCTGCATCTCCATGTATTGATTTATAAGGTGGCTGTGTGTGTGCAGGATGAGGAGCACCAACATGAGTGGCTATGTGTGTGTAGGAGGAGCAGTAACATGATTTATCTAAGGTGGCTGCTGTGCAGGAGGAGGAGGAGCAGTAACTCATTTGATCAATCAATATGTGAAGAGGTCAGTGCCATTCAAAAGTGAAGGCCCACTGACATCTGCAAAAAATGTTTTACATACACCTGTATGCAGAGGATACTGTTATGCATGCTATTGCCCCCACGGTTGACCAAGCGCTTTCAAAGCTACAATCGGCCTTTATTGCTTTGCAGAAAGCCTTTGTTGAACTGAAATTGGTACTTAATGCAGGTAAAAACCAAGCATATGTTATTTTCCAAAACACTTTAAAATGTATCTGATGATTTACAGTATGCATTATGGTCATTGGATGGTGCACACATTGATCGTGTCCCTGTTTATAAATATCTGGGCATCTGGATTGACGAAAAGCTATCTTTCAAAAACCATATTGATGATTTAGTTAAGAAGTTAAGAATTCAAAATGTGCTTCCTGTATAGGAATAGGTCATGCCTTTCATTAAATAGCAGAAAACAAATCATTCAGTCAACATTCTATAAGAACGCAGCTGCCACTGTACTGAAGCCATTGGACGCAGTTTATCACTACCGCTTTATTATGGGCGACATGTTCAGTGCACATTTACATTTTTACACATCACTACATTCTGTATCAGAAAGTAGGCTGGCCCTCTTTGAAGTCTCATGGATTGATGCATTGCACTCTTATTGTTTAGAAAGCCTTGCACAAACATTTGCAGTACCTTACTTCATTGTTAACCTATAGATGTACGAGTTACCAGACCCGGTCTCAGGGATGGCTAACTCCGGAGATCCGTTCCATCTCCACTGATTTAAGTAAATCTGCTTTTAGTTTTTTTGCACCTTACGTGTGGAATAATCTCAAAATCAAAAATGTGATGATTTGGTTCCTCTATTCAGACAGCTGATTTAAATGCGTTTGTTTTCTATGAATGTGTTTTGTATCTATGTTTTGCTTTTCATAGTGTATCGATATGTATATTCTTTGTAATTAAAGGGCTCTTCTGTAAAAGAGACCTCTCTGTCAAAATAAAGGTTCATAAAATAAAATAAAAAACAAGGAACACTCAAAGACCATTAGCTTTATGCTATGGTGGTGCATTATGGTTATCTGGTAATAGCATAATTGATTGAACTGCCAATAAACTAAAACACTTTAATTGGCCTCATCTGTCACAATCATTCTCACACAGTGTAACTTTTAGACAGCCAGGGCTTTGATAATTATTATGCTTGTGTAATTTGGTCCTGCATTTAACAGGGGAAGCAACTGTGACATCCATGCAGAAAGGAATATTGTGACATATGCTATCAGAAACCGTGCGTGTGTGTCCGTGTCCTCCCCAGTGAAGATTTAAATCAAACAATTCATTTTGAAAACTGATTGAAATGCAATTTGCTGGGACTGGAGATGGTTCTCAAAATTGTCAACAACTATCTTATTCATTACTAATTAGGTATTGTTAGGTAAAAACCCAAGTGATTACAACTATGTCGTGTGCAAATCAGGACATGTTTTTATGTTGATGTTACACTTTCACTTTCTGTTTAGTTTTTACATAGATAAATAGCCTAATCTCCTCTATTGTCTTTCATTCCTCACATATTCAGCAGTGAATGATATGACCCGCCCTGCGTCCCGTAGCTGGCCTTGAAGCTAGCCAGCAAACTAGCCAAAAAGCTAGCTAATGAAATCCACAGCTGCAAAGGAGGAGGAGGAAGAAATAGTGGGAGGGTCTGTGAAAGAGATGCCCACAAGAATCGGACTGGCGAAGCGAGGTTTCGAGGCGGCTAGTTAACTACCGAAACTAATCAAAGGGACACCCGTACCAGTACTGGAATCATCAATTGGGTTTATGACAAAAAACTATAAATCAGATTCCGGTACTGTAACCTTCGGGAAATCGTAATTCAACGTGAACGGCTTTGACACCTCGCTGACAACATGGCTGAATTTAGCATCGATCAGAACAAACTGCCTGGAGTAAAAGAAGGTAAGGTTTGCTAGGTAGCTACTTAGCAGCCAGCTAGATAAACTGTAGCTAGAGCTAGCCTTGCTTGTTTACACCTGTCTGACAGGTGGTTCTTTTTCACATTTTAGGTGTCAAGTGCCTGCATCCTAAATGCTTCATATATGTTTGTTTTGTCAAATAGCAAGCTAGCCAATTTACTTAACAGTGACCCAGTGTAACGTTAGCTATCTGACTTTCATGTTTTTGCTGGTTAGCTAACTGGGGACAAATACATTCACACGTGATTCTGGAATTTGGAGTGATTGTGCGAGTTTTTAACTGTCTGGCAGCTAACGTAGCTAGCTATCTCTGGTCTGTAGAGGTGGCAATGGA